GCATCGGAAGCTATACATCTCATCCGAATGGCCACTTCGACCAAACATCCTTTCATGGTTAGCAAATAGACCTGTGCCGTTTCAGCATTTTATCTGATGAAAAAAGAGGTTTTTGAAAATACACAGCCGGACATTCCGATTTGAGCTCGAAAAATAGCGCAAACACAATTTTCAAAATCAACTATGAGGACGACCTTAGAGAGAAAAGAATTCTCTGCAAAATAGTCGGAAATTCATTGGCAAACTTGTCATTTTTAGCGCGAAATTTTTAGTGAGGAAGAAGTACCATTACTCGTGGGCCAATCCGGTACTCTCCCCTTAGTAATCACTCTACCTTGTGTTCTGCTGTTACTATTAAAAGATTGGATAGATATCGGCTGCCTACATAACGGACAGGACGGCAAGACACTACGGCAGACACAAAGAGAAGTAGCTGATTTACTCTGATGTAAAGTGCACGATAACGACAAGGCAGAGAGTTCTATGGAAAGGAAATGGGGGCAGTTCATTAATTGTAAGGTCTACGTGGGGGGGGTGAAGAGAGAGTGTGTTTCCATCAGCATGTCTGCACCATATATAACCCTTAACTGCGACCTGTATGGCCAAAGAACGAGGTATTGATACTTGACAGTTACACTCCATACTCTTTTTCATCGTTGTACGTCATCAAGTAATTACTTCAGATGAAACTGTACCGTACGTATGAGACGGTATAATGCAGGAACTCCTGTTATCCATTATTTGTCTTATTACATTTCTCAGCCTTCATCGCGAAGCTGGAGAAGATTCCAGAAAGTCGCCTCGAAGTCGAAAAAAAGTGGGCCACACCCTGTTCTGGTCAACTTTATTCAGAGGACCTGTAGCTTAGAAGAAAACTTTGGCAAACAACTGACAGAGTGAAGGCGAAAGAGGGTAAGGTATGTTCGAAATCCCTAAGATCGGGTAGGCGTGGCTGCGTACTTGATTTTAAAATGGCGGCGGTCCAGGTTTTCGTGAGATATTGTCATTTTGGAGCAGTAGTAATCAAGTCTACATTCAACACAGGACAAGATAGCAGTTGTTTCAAATTGAAGTATCCTACGAGAAACCCGTCCTATGCCGTGCTCAAAAGCCACGCCTACTCCGTCTCAGGGATTAGGAGTGTACATCCGAACATATTGAGCAAGAAAACATGGAACTTCATGATAAGGCCTTGTGCGCGGACACCAAGCGCCAGCAACCTTCGCAACAGAAAAGAAGCCCACCCAAGACTTATCTCTTACCCAGGCGCAGCTTAAAGAAGAGAAAAACAGTCACCACATTGATTTCTTGAGAGAGCTTACTCACATCCCATTGCGCCCCTGCGCGGCGGGCCCGCCGCACAATGCACACCCGGAAGTGTTGTGTAATGTTATGGATGCATGTACACTCCATATCTCAGAGGTGGAAAATTCATGGCTGCGTACTTCAATCAAATGTGGCGGCAACTGCACTTGTGGATGGATGTTACTGTTTCAGAACAGTTGCAACCATGACTTTCAGTTTAGGACAGCACTCGTATCAAATGAAAATATCACCCGAGTAACGTATCGCTACATTTCGCGATTTTATTAGCTCTGTATTTTGTTGTGTTCAGTTTGTATTAATCTTCATTCAGTCTCAATGCTCATGACCACATTCCTTGCAGGCATGGTCAGTTCCTTCACAAATTGCGGTCGCGTTCAACCTTCTCGCGAAGCAAGGCTCTCTCTCCCCCACTGTTCTTGTAAACATCGTTTTCCGCTCGAGAGAAGCTACGGAGGCCGCACAGCTCAACCGTTTTCCGGTTCTGCGCACACAACTGCCTCTATATTTTTTGAGAGTTCTGTTCTTTTATTGCTCCTAATTTATTCCCTTTTTTCTTTCCTTTTGGAATGTTTAATTACCCAAGTACGAGGTATATAGTGCGTGCAGGGATGCTTGTTCTGGGATCATAACCACATACTGTATATTCACACGTAGCAAGACACAACGTAGCAGTCAACTCATGACGCGTTCTACGCCACGTTCATCTAGTGTACGAACCCACGCCCTATTCCAACCACTAGGAGTGTAGTATAGGTATTGGGTTGCCCATAAGTAATGGCGTTTTTCAACTTAAATTTTGTTCAAAAAGTGAAAGTCAACCACCGAGAATGCATTGGAAAGCTGGCTGATCGGTGATAGGAGGTTGTAAGAAACAATGAAGAATATATTAACTAGTTTATTGTATATTGTATATATTTTTTATAGTGTTGTAAATACTTGTTTTGAAATTTAATCAGGAAAACAAAAAAAAATCGTGAGGTATGGGTCGACCGGATGTCTGCAAGGTCAGCGTTGTCGGTTCTTGCCTTTCTCAAAATTAACTGTGAGCCGCCCTGATATTAATCTGTTACTCAATGCTTTAATCAAACCATGGCGAATCCATTGAGCTGCTGCAGGGGCTTTGAAGCTTCCGTCGAAGCGGTAGGGAGAAGATGTCGGGAATGCCGATTCTCATCAACCTGACATTCCGTGTTAATAACATGAAATTAGCAGAAAGTATACAGCTATGTAGAACAGATTCCCATCGCAGTGTTATAGAGCACGAAATTTGCTATCAGAGCGTACAAAACACATTAGCGAAACCTTCAACTATTAGCATAAAATTTCAAGTGGAACAGAAGCGATGACTTGCGATCCTGCCCATTATCTGCAAGGTGAAGGTTGCCAACCTCGAAATTCTTGAAATTAGTTCCGAAGCGTCCTATGAGGATTGCCTCGCTGGGACTTCTAGGTCAACCCAATGCAAATTTATGGAACAGCTCAAGCGATTTTAGCATTGTGAATAGACGTAAATAAAGGCAGCTGTTGAAGGTACTGATTTTCGCCGACGCAGCTTTCAACTTCAACGACTAAAAAACCTACAAAAATCATCACCACACCCCAAGGCTGTTTCGATATTCTTATAGTACGAGAAGTTTCCCATCAGACGATATCAAACTTGCTTTCAAGGGTTGAAAAGCGCCATTACTTATGGGTTAACCCAATAGATGGAGAATGGCGGATGTCATGATGAGCAGCTATTCGATATACTATCAAGCGGGGCAACTTAATCTTCTCCTGCCTCGAGCTCATAGAGTCCACTTTTCTTCACCAGTATTCACTTTATATTGTGTCATTGTGTTCTGCTGCTACTAATTAATGTTTGATGTCTGCCTAATACGACGGGCTGCAGGAAAAAAACTGTAAGAGAAGTATCTGCTCCGATATCAATAAAGCAGCGAGCTTCAGCGCTAGGAAATATCACAGTATTTTAATTCGAGAGTAGAGAGAGAAAGTGACAGGTGCCTGCATATCTCCACCATAAGTAACTTTGCAAGTGGGAGTCATGTTTTCGTGTGAGCTCAAGATTTCACATAGGAAAAGCTGCTCGAATATGTTCGGTAGTGCAATATTGAGACCGCGAAATTCTTGCATCGCCCACGGTGCTCACTGTAAGAGATCCAGTGACCCTGTAACTTGTTGTGTTTTCTCGGCATTAATCCATTTCTTATAGAATGAACCGCTTTTCATTCCTAATCAGAATGAGTCCTCAAGATGCCATCTGCAGGCCTCCCTCATGTTTAACTCCTGTTCAAGTTCTCCATATTCAGTGCGAATAGCTTCATTGTGATCTAGCTATTTTCCGCGTCTCACGGCTGCTTCGGGTTAGCAGTTAGTATTTTATGTCTCGTAGTGATTGCTAGAGAGTACAGGCATCATGGCAGCTTGGGCACATTATAAGCAGTCTACATCTCACTGGCCAGAACTCCCAGTAGCAGAGTTTTTTTCAGGTGAGCCCTTTGAAGCACGATTCATTCCATGTTTCTCATGCCCTCTCTGGATATTATAGCCCCCTGCGAGGATGCAGGAGTATTGAGTTCTTGCCATCTTTAAAAGCGAGAGGATGGCCGCGGATTCGCCCTATGGTAGTCGCCGTCCGCAGCCCGAGCCTGCCGACCACAACGCCCACCTTCATTCCTTATGGTTGGTGTGATTGTCCTCCTGCTGATTCTCCACTACGAAGGGTGAAAATGAGGAGATAAGGAGAAACAGCTCATATCAACAAGTGAGAAGTCGCGCGACCGCTCTCTCTCTCTCATTGCTTCAAGCACGTACAACCGCAGTTCGGCATTAGGTTCCTTATAGGGCAATTTCCACGCTTTCCTTTTGATTTCTCACAGTGTGTTACTTGCTACCCTGTTATTACTATCTGAGCCGCATAATCATCAAATTTGAACGCGGGCTCAATCAGCAGCCTGTATTTGCTCCTGAATAAGACCAGCAGAAAAGTAACAAAGTTTAAATCACAATTTGTATCTGACATGCGTAGAAGTTGCGACGGGAAAACGTTGATTGAGCCATTCACGACGTTCGCTGCCACTGCCTGTTTTCTTCCTAAACCAACCACTAATGGTGGAAAACGCAGCAGAGGGTGGACTCATTAGACTCGCCTAGCTGACACTGCCCCTCCCCCCCCCCCCCACGCCGCAAACTGCGACGGTGATCAACTACCTTATTTTACGGCCACTTGAAACCTAAGGCCTTTCAATGTTAAATGGCCTAACGATGTTTCATTCGAATGCGGTTTGAAACCGCAGCGTGGTGGCAGGCGAGTCCGTCACCCGGTCGCAGTTCCTGCTGCTCTTACATGAATGGCCTAGCGGCTCACAGAGTATGAACTCCTCTTGGTTTTGTGCTCTTATATCTCCCACCTTCCAAAATGTATACATGGTTTCTAACATACAAAAATCCTTTGTTGAGCAATGAAGCTTGCAAATGTGAATTTTTCATTTGTGTTCCCCCTAATAAAGCATTTGCTCAATAAGGAAGTTGTGCCGAAACGTAAAGAAAAAGTGACAGTGGTGAAGTTGACAACATTAGTAAAAACACCTTATAACTAAAAATAAAAATACTCTCTCGAAACAAGGTGAAACATTGGAAAGTAATCCAAATATTATGATTAACTAATGAAAAAATCAGTCTACCCATTCAATGTTCAGGACTCTCTGCAGGAAACTGTATATATCGACACGTCCAGCTATCTGAAGATAGATTTCAAAACCCTGAATTATTCATTACAACCCAATCAATCAACCCACCTGTTTGACAAAAGACATCCCCCCTCCACCATGACCAGCTTTCTTCTCGACACGTACTAGAAGTGGGTTGGTCTGGAGCTTGTGTTTTTTGGCCTACAACAATTTTTGTATAGAGAAATGAATAAAGCGCAAAGACTTTCTCGCATTTCCTTTTTGTGTAATTCTGTATTGAAATCTCCGGAGTCACTGAAAGGCGCGGCTGGTGAGCAACTCATCCACGCACCTTCTTACGGATTTTTATACGGTGATTGAGAAAAATCGCTAAGATGAGCGGCACTCGAATGACGTCGTTCCTCAACCCCGCCCACCGATGCAATTCTAGACGGTGCATTTATCAAAACAGTGCGCTCATTGATGCTTATTCAGATCAGCCGTTCCCAGCGCTCAGTCACATCTAGAAAATCACGGCTTTTTCAAAGAAAACCATCCTAAAACCTCCCCCCCTCTCTAACATGTTGCTAACGCTCTGACCAAATTGTCCCACAATTCTGCACTCTTCAGTGAGAGAGGAGAAAGGTTAGAGACGCTCCCTATCAAGTACTAGAAATGGTGGTTTTACGGCCTACTTGGCATGGAAGGAGAGGGAGAGGGGAGGTAGGGAGTACGGCCCTGCACGGGTCCGATTCATAACGAACGGCGTGACCTACTGGCATGTCGGCGACTATTATCGCTTCAGGGCTACTTGTGTTATTACACCTGTGCCGAGCCGCCCAAATGTGGCCGCGGAAATCTAATAGTAGGGCAAAGGAAAAAGTCTTCGCCGTTGATCAATCCCTTTGTGGGATGCGGCACGCATTCTACTTCCATTCAGAATCGTAGTGGCTTACTGAATGCGATGTGGCCTATACAATGACTTGCGGGGCCAGCCGATGTACAAGTCAGTGCTCTTATTCCCCCAGATGAGTCTGGTACCAAATAACCGTCCCCGTGGAATAGACGGCCTGGTTGCCAGGGCTGGAGGTCGACGCGAGATTTCAACCCAGGATCGCGCAGGTGGTAGGTGCGCTACTTGTCACTACATCACCATTACTTACATTACCATTATTTTTATCACATGCTACAGCTTCTTTTGAACTGCTTACTTTTTCTTGTTTCAAAAGAAGAGTACTCCCGCAATGTTATGTTTTCCAACCAACTCGCCTTTCCACTTCAGTCATGACAAGAAAAGAAAGAAAAAGAAAATAATTAACCTTCTCATACAAGGTAGCCGCATACTTCAACGTATGACTTGGAACAACGCGGTCATCATGATCAGCAGTCATCATTAAGGTTGATGGCCATTGCCCATCTTTGGGGAATTTGACATTGTGTAAAGGAGAATACCTTGAACAAACTTTTGATGAGTTAATGAGTTAGTGAATCTCGATTCTTCTCACGACATTTTTAATCTCAGACTTAGAGTAAGTGGTTCCTTCTCCGCATGAGCCGTCACTGTAATCCAGCAATGTATTGTGTTGGCCCATAAGTGATGGCGCTTTTTTCTCGCACAAATTTCCATATGCGAGAAGATAATTGTTTCCTTTGTTATAGGCTATCGGGCTATTTGATAGATAACTCCATGCTTTACAATACGGTATAGGTGCCTCGCTATGTTTCCTGCTTTATTCGATTCTATTCCATTGAAATGGAGTGCTGATTACACAAATAAGTTTTTTGACAAAAACAATTTCTTCCATTCAATCTTGGCTCTTGAATTGCTGGAACAGCTTCAAAGTTGTGATTTATATGAAGGAACGGCGATACAGAGATGGAAGTACGGACCTTGTAAATGTGCATCGCATGGGCGCGAACGTGTAACCCTTCAAAGACATCTACCGTTTCTCCACCCTTTGCTATGAACCTCCCTGAATAAGGTGATTTAATAAGCTCACAGTTGGCTCCAGTAAGGCATTAGGTTAGATAAATAAATACCTGTGGGGGGGGCACTGCTAAAGCAGTTCTACTTTCACCACTTGTAAGTGTGACGCAATGATTTATGATTTATGATTTATTATCGGCAGTCTAGTTTACAGGGATGGCAAAAAAAAGTCACTTCGACCGAGTCACATATCAGCAAAGTTTTCGCAGCCCAGACAGAGGACGTGGATACGAGTACCAGGGCGGAAGATACCCAAGATGTTCCGATAAGCAGGAGCTGGCTCTCGCCCATCACCTTCATGTACACCAAAATATGAAGTCATCTCCAGTCGCAGCCTGACTGGAGAAGACCTTTGGAATTCATGTCACCTCCAAACAGCTGCGAAACTTCTAGTATGGAGTCACCCATGGATAGCTACCTGGAGACCAGTACTCTCGATCTGGAAGACCTCCAACATCGAGCAGCTCGCTACGGTCTAGGACATCATCTTCACCGCAGTCGCCAAGGCGCCAGTTGATGGTGGGGACCGGACGTACCTGGAATAAAGACCGATATTTTCTTCGTGGACCCCGGACTGAAGGTGAGCGCTGGCGGTTACATCGAGCAACTCGAGAAGAATATCCTCCCTACATGTCGTCGCCCGTACCTTCTTGGAAACTTTGTACTGCTACAGGTTTGGGTGCCACCACATGGAATCGAAGGGCGTTGGAAAAACTCTCGCCTACTTGGAATGGAAGGGCGTTGACCTGAAGAAGATGGAATATCTAAGCAGGTCACCTGACCTGAAACCCCCTCAATTACCTGGTTCGGGCGGAGTTCAATAGGGTGGTCTACAGTGGCGGAGAAATCAACTATCTCGCTGAACTCAGGCACCGAATCACGGTCGCGTGGCAGAATCTCTCGATGGCGCTCCTCCAGAAGGCTGTGGCGGAGTATCATAATAGTATTTAATATGCTGTTGAATATGGTGGTAGAAATCCGGTCAAAACTTAATAAAGTGTAACTTATAGCGCCTCGAAGCCTAGAAAGTCAAGGAAGGAAAGTAACATTTTTTGGGTCCCCCCTGTAGTTTCAACATTGCGGATATTGCGATTGCAGCGCGGCACGAGCTCGCGTCCGGCTGCCTTGCTCTACCAATGGTGATCGAGCAATGATCGATGTAGGAAGGAATCAGCCACTGGTGGGAAGGCCGCAGGTGGGAACCGCTGATTGCGACCCGACAGTCCGCAATGATGAGGACTATATGCAACACTGCACGCGATCGGCATTATGCGTTCGTACTTGCACGCGTTACGGAAACTCTCCCATTCGGCAATAGCGCCATTAATTTGTAATGCCAGAGCTAGCTGCGCGCCAATACTTTCGCTGTGGAATTTTGGTTGCACAGGTTACAAGCGAACGTATACCCAGAGCGTGCTGCATGACAGTGCAAGTCGAATAGCAAGAGACAAAAAAGTAACACCCCACCCCTCAACTTCATGGAGCATAAGCTGGGTCACTTACATCACTGTGCGTCCTTCCTTAGCACACTCCTTTGCC